GCTAAACATGCACAATATGGACATGCAATGCAAATACAGAAGCTAGAAAGTCCCAAAATAAGCACTTTTCCAGTTTATAGCAAGGTCAAACAGTAAGTATAGATATGGAAAAAAAGGCATGCAAGAATACGGTATTTTCAAGGGGTAATGAAGCAAGTGATATAAACAAAACCCAAACTGAAAAATTTCCTTCTACAACACTGAAGATGGACAAAAAATATGAACATTTACAGTATATGGCAGCCTCAAAATCAGTATACAAATATGCTAAAAATGTGATGCAAAGCAAGGCTTAAAAGGTGCTATAACATGAAGTATGCAAAACAATCACCAAAAAGAAAAAAAGTGTGAATGAAACATGAAGTATAGGCCAAAATAAGACTATCTCTAGGCCTGTAAAATGGCCTAAAACAAAAGCATGGTAGGCTAACAAAACATGCAAGAAAACGAAACGAAAGTGAGATATAACATGAAGTGGCTTATGGAGGTCCCAAAGCATGAAAGACCCTAAAAAAAACATGAATATTGGACCAAAATAAGGACTTTTTCAGAACTGTAAAATGGCCAAAAACCTAAGCATGGTAGGTTTCCATTGCATGCAAGAATGGGGAATAGAAAAGAGATAAAGGGTAGGTATAACATGGAAGTCCCAAATGGAGTTGAGACCTTCTTCAATGTTGAAGAGGGGCTCAAAATAAGCCTATTCACAGATTATAACATGCTCAAAAACAGATTTCTCATGGGCCAAAAATAACATGCAAGAAAACGGTATTTTCGAGGAGTATTGAAGCAAGTGTATTATGGAGGGCTCAAACAGGGTTGAGCCCTTAATGAAAAGTGAAGATGAGCTCAAAATATGGCCCTTTTCAGTTAGGGCCAGAGCTTGAAACCCAAAATAAGTGGGGCTTAGAAATAGATCAAGAAAAAGGGTCAAAAGGGTAAAAGTGTTACTTACCCTTGAAGATCCAAACTTTTGTTGCTTCTTGGATGGATTTGCAGCTTCTTTAGCCTTCTAAAAACCCTCCTTGCTGCTGGAAATGAGGTAGTGGTGGTAGAGCTTGGTGGTGTAGAAGGGATGGTGGTTAGAGGACTTAGGGTTTTTTGAAGAATTGAGAAGGAAGAAGATGGAATTCTATATGAGAGCTTGAAGAAGAGTTTTTTCAACCCTAACAAAGAAGACCAACAGCTGGTTATAAGGATCAAAAAGGGGGTGTAAAGGTGGGGGAGAAGGAGAGCAAAACTCCCCCACAAAATATCCCCCGGATGTAGAAAATATCTGGGGGATATTGCCCCACAGCTGTAAAGGGTACAGTGAGAAGAACACGGCCGGCCTCTCACTTTTACTGGAGGTGGCCGGCCGGCCACACCCCCTAGCCGGCCGGCTAGGGGTCAAAAGGGTCAATGATATTTTCTGGCCGGCCAGCTACTGGGGAGGTACCTCTATGTGTGTACAACACAACCATGTGGTTAAAAGTCTGAGAAAGTGGGTCCAGGGGGTTCAACATTGGCTCGGAAAGAGGGGGTCAAAAGGGTCAAGTTGAATTACTGGCCGGCCATAAACTTTTAGGGGCCTCTCAGGTGTGTACATCACAGATATGTGGTTCAAAGTTCGAAAAAAAAGGTCTAAGGGGTTCAACATTAGCCCGGAAGAAAGGGGTCAAAAGGGTCAAGTGACCTTAATGGCCGGCCACCAACTTTTAGTGGCCTCCCAGGTGTGTAGATCACAGATATGTGGTTGAAAGTTGGCAACACTAGCTCCAAGGTATTCAACATTAGCCCGGAAGTCGGAAAAACGGGCGCCGGGAGGCTCCGGAGGAGAGATAACTGGCTGCTGCAACAATTGCTGACCTCCCACCCTTCAGTGACCTTCCTGGTGATAAAACAGAGGTACCTGCCAAAAATGAACGAAAACCGTTGCAAAATGAATGTTCCGGGGCCAGAACACGCAGTTCGGAGTCCCAAAAATGGGCTGTTAAGCACCGAAAGTGGCATTCGACCTCGGAGTGGTCTATTAAACTTCCTTTTAGTGTCCCTCAAAAGGGAGAAAATAAGATGTATGCCAAAAATCAGAGCAAACGGAGATGGTTAGGCGGTCCCGAACCGAGGCACACGGCCAACAGTCCCAAAAACCGGGAACCGGGCTCCGAAATGGGCAAAATGGCCTATGACCACAAAACGTAGCCCACGGCCACTAAGAGATGGTCTACAGGACTTCTCCCTCCCCTCAGGAAAAGAAACAGAGAAAACCAAGTCTGGTTCGCAAACCGAGACAAGGCATAGAAAAGGGTTCGGGAGTCTGGAGGCAGGGCTCACGGCCGCAACTCCGAAACTTCTGAACAAGCGCATTATGCAACATCACCAAGCGCTCAATCGGTGACGTCTGAGTCTTAAGGTCGGTCAAAAATGGGGTGTCTACACCAGTTTGGGTATTAGTTTTGGGGCAGAAATTTGGGGCACAAATCAGTGTTTGAGTACAGTTATCCAGCTTATGATTGCAACTGCGTGTTGTTTCTGTTTGAGCTGGGGTGCTGTGCGATTTTTGATTTTTGTTTCTTTTTGTTTTATTTTCTTTTTACAAGATAGTCTTTCACCATTGTTTCAGACGAGTCTATTACCCCCCAAGCACTCTGGACTCGAGTCAGAAGGATTTGTAGATCTGGGGATCTAGTCAGGGGACAGCCAGTGTTTGTGTCACTTCCGCTGGTTACTAGACGGAGGAGGATTCGGCAGAATTCACCAATCACCGTTTACCTCACCTGTGCCTGGTCAGGCCCAATCATCTACTTCTACTCCAGACATAGAGTATTCGCTGGTTCTGGAAGTTCAAAATCCTCTAGTTGACATGGAAGATATGCTTCGACAACCCCAGCAAACTATTGAGGCTATGCAGCTAGATGCTGTTCACCAAGCGGAAGTCACCGCCGCCCAAGCGAAAATTGCAGCCCAGCAGGCTGAGTTGATCTCTAGGTTGTAGCAATAACAACCGCAGCAAGCAGCAGCCTCTGCATCCCATCCACCTCCTACAAACATTCCGGTACCCGGAGCTATTGCTCCCACAGCTAATGTCCAGGAAAATACAAACATTCCAGTGGATCCGATTCCACCCCAGACCTCCAAAGCACCGGCATAACAAACAGACGCGCCGCTTGAATTTGGGGTTGACCCTATTGCACTGAAAGTGAACAAGCTTGAGAAGCTCTTTAAATGGGCACAGGGTGTGAACTCGATCCCTGATATAGACGATGGCTATATTGAGTCGGCAGTGACGTTGCCAGACAGATTCAAAATCTCGTATATAGACCGGTTTGATGGTTCAGGGGATCTTATGGTCCATCTATGGCTATTCTCTAACATTCTACGACCCATGGGTCTCACTAGACTATAGAAGCTATCGCTCTTTGCCCGAACCCTGTCGGGTATAGCGGCCATATGGTATGCCAAACTTGAAGGCTCTGTGACGACAAATTGGGAGGAAATGGCCAAGGCCTTCATAGCACAGTACTCCTATAACACTCAAATTGAGGTCATAACTCGTGATCTCGAAGCAACTCGCGAGGAGGTGAATGAGGCCTTCTCGGATTTTGTCACTTGGCGGAAGGCCAAGGCCTCTATGATGACTGTCCGGCCGCCTGAAAAGGACCAGTTCAGAATGGTGGTCCGTAATCTGCAACCAAGACTATTACAGAAGATGATTGCCTTACCACTGTCTACTTTTGGTGACCTCCATGAAATAGGGGGTGCAAATTGAGGATGTAATGAACCAGGGTCTGATAGACCACAAGAAAGAGCAGCCCAAGAGGGCTTTCACACACAGTTCCAATGCGACTACGAGTGGTAGTGCAGCTGCAAGGCCTTCCGATGTCGGTAAAGTCACCACCACACGTGAAACTGCCACCCCCTTTGCTAGTACATCCGATACAACCTCACAAACATCGAAGCACCAACCCTAAGGCCAAAGGGTCTTTACCCCTCTATACATGTTCTTATCTAAAGCCTTAGGGGTCCTGATAAAAAAAGGGGCACCTGAAGCAATTAGAACCTCGCCCCCTACCCGATCCTCTTCCCCCGAAACACAACCCGACCAAATACTGCGCTTTTCATCAATAACATGGTTATTACACTGACCTATGGTTCAGATTGCGTCATGAGATTCAAGATCTTATTAACAATAAGGTGATAGCGCCTCCTCAAAAGCCTAATGTCACTACAAATCCCCTTCCACCACATAACCAGGTCGTTCCACCTCGGCAAATAAAACTCATCCATACACTGGCCATTCCTTACGATCCCAGTATATACATCACCCTTTCTCATCTACCCAAGCGGGCGTTTTTCATCCCGGAGAGCACAGATTTGTGCATAATAAATGCATCAACATTCCAACCCGAACCTGTGGTGGTGACTATGGTAGATGAAGGCAAGCTGGCCTTGGTGGAGAATGAGAATACCAGTCTAGTGCCTGAGGGCTCCATGGACTTATCTGAGGAGGAATACAACCCGTGCCGCTATATTGTGCCAACCATTCAAGCCAAACCAGATGTAGAGTTGCCAACATGAATGGAGGTTAGTGTAGTCTGAGTGGATGTCCCGAGCCAAAGTCTGGATGATCTAGCAGAGTTGGAAGAAGACTTGGACAATTTGCTGTTCTACGATGAACAAGATCCGCGAAATGTATAGATTGATTGGTTCAATTTGAACGGGTCGGCAGACAATTTAGGGTGGCTCAATGATGAACCTGATGTGGATGAGGGACTTCAAACAATGCAGGAACAGCTAGAAGCAAGAGCTGCTACAAGGGCCGAAACGGTCGAGGACAATGGAAAATTGCTGAAGGGCACCGGTATTAAGAATTTTGCTCAGGAATTAGGCATTGGTAGTACTGCTGATACGGAGCAAGAAGCTGCATTGAAACAGTTTGAATAGGAAAGGGATGGGAATGATCAGAACGATGGAAAAGCCCAAGGCCTTGTAGGGAATGATTGTGATGTTGACGTGGGAGTACTTACAACGGAACCAGACAATTACTTGTTGGTTGCCGGAGGAATATGGTGAGAAGATGATGATTTGCATCTTGCCCCTGTCTAAAAATATCTGCAAAAGCAGATGAACAGCAATCGGCCGGCCAAAAATGCCATCTTGGCCAAAAAGAGTGCCGACCGGCACAAAATAGTGCTGACCGGCAACAAAAGGTGCCGGCCGGCAATAAAAATTGCCGGTGGCAGCAAAAACCAGCCGGTGGCCTCTAGCCACTGCCGGTGGTGGGTGGGGATGATCTACAAGCCCTACCCTGCCCTTCCAAGGCAAAACACAAGTGTTTGGTGCAAAACCAGACACTAAACGGTCGAGTTCGGAGATCCTGAGGCAAGGCACGCGAGCTGAGGCCTCCGGGAACTCCAAATGAACACGAACATGGAAGATCACCGTGTGTTCAAACGGTGACGTCCAAGTCTTGAGGACGGTCAAAAATGGGGTGTCTACAGTTGCCCCTCTTTGACAGAACTCGAAAGTCATAACAATGACGGGAGTGAATGTCAAAGCCCAGAGATGACCCATTTTTGACAAGGCCAAAGACTTAGACAAAGCATGCAAGACAATAAAGATATGCGCCCGAAGGCGGGGGCAAAATGCAACTGACAATGCACAAAGCCGAGCATAACTTATGATCATGCAAAGAAAGCTGTAACGAAGCATAACATGCGACAGTTTTAAGCAATCAAACACAAATCCAACTACATTACAATGCAGAAAGGATGTAAGAGAAATGTGTAATTCTCGCTACGTTTCACGCGGAGAATATGATACCTATCCGATTCGTCTGGTTGCGCCAGCCTCAAATGAATCGTACATACAATATCGTGCCTGTAAAAGAGAGAAACTTAACAGGTACAATATTGTTAGCAATATGCATGACAATGCAAGTTAAGACTGCGTGACAACACAAATGTAGGAGTGCATGACAATGCAACCTATGCGCAAAATGATATGCAATATTTACAAAACTATGTATAAACAATGCAAATGATATGCAATGCATTTGAAACATAATCAAACCATAAGCGGTTCAAAACCACACAAATATCATAAAGATGATGGAGATACAAAGTCCATCTACCATAGAAAAGGTGCCGACACCCTCAAACCACAATACCAGCAGTGGGATAGGCGCGTACACATGCAGAACTATGAGTTGTGTAGACAGACACAAGATACAAGTAATTGGGTGGGATGATATAAGTGGGGAAATGACCCGCTGAGGAAAGACTATGATCCTAAATGCTGGATGCAAAAAAAAAAAAAAATTACACTACAATGTAATATATACAATGGATGAGGCATGCAGCCAAAACATATCTTGCCTAAGAAAAGCATGGACGCATACAAACCGCGTCTAAACACAGAAACGGTGCCGTCACCCTCAAACCACAATACCAGCAGTGGAATAGGCGCGTACACATAATATCATAACTGTGCTTCGACGTGAAAAATATGGGCACATACCAGACCAAGCTCAACATGGAAAGGCGCAAGCCGTGGATGGAGGTGATGCAATGAATGCATGCAAGCTACAATGCAATATTTACAATATGCAATGGATGCAGCGGATAAGGCCTTCGGCCAAACCGTATCTTGCCTAGGAAAGGCATGGACACATACAAATCGCGTCTAACACAGAAACGGTGCCGTCACCCTCAAACCACAATACTAGCAGTGGAATAGGCGCGTGCACATAATATCATAACTGTGCTTCGACGTGAAAAATATGGGCACATACCAGACCAAGCTCAACATGGAAAGACGCAAGCCATAGATGGATGCGATGCAGTGAATGCATGCAAGCTACAATGCAATATTTATAGTATGCAATGGATGTAAATGTAATATTTACAGTGATGCATGACATATGCACTATTTACAATGGAATGCATGACATATGCATGTTGGTTTTTTTGTTTGTTTTTTTTTGAAAAATGCATGAAAATGTAGATGAAATTGAACGCGCGACAACACATGTCTTTTGAAATGCATGACAATGCACATGAGTAGCGCATAACAATGCGAGTGAGGGATGCATGACAATGCAACCTAGGATAAAACCCGCCAAGATTCATTCGGGCACGACAAACACCAAAGGACTTGCACCTTCAGAGGATTTAAGGTCTTCTAGGCCGAATGTATTTAAGGTCTCGCTAGACCGCAAGGAGATGCATAACAATGCAAGTCGTGTGTGTTACAACGCGTGTATGCATGCATAATGACGCAATGCATTCGAAGTAGTTTCCGAATGTTTGCAAGATACAAAAAGGATACGAAAAGGATACACCCTTGCACGCATTCGAGTGCTACGCACAGAAAATACGGTCCGAGGTCAAAACGGAGTCCGGTTGAGCTTCAAAATACATTTTCTTGCACTGTGTTGAGCAATGAAGACCCCAAACCACATAAAAGACCCCAAACAAAGGTGTAGGAGGTTCACCGGCCATCGGGGGGGGTCACCGGCCATCCAACGGCCACCAAAAAAGTCCATCGGCCATATATTTGGCCGACCGGCCAACAATGTGGCCGATCGGCCAAATATGCCTGTATCGGGGCAGTTTTGACATTTCGGCCGTGGGTCTTTAAATATAGGGCTTGAAGCCCTATTTTTCCACTTCCCACAAACTCAAAAACTCTTGCCCTCTCTCCCTAGGTGATTTTTCAACCCTCGATCCACGCTTTTGTCGCGTTTTAGAGCCCGTTTCGCCGTTTGATTCGCGAACTCCTTCGCGTTTCGAATACTTTGAACCGAACAAATCTCCATTTCGGTGTATTTTTCTCGATTTCCCCCACTTGGGGTTTGTTCCCCTCGAGTTTATCTCACTTCTCGTGCCTTTCCCGCACTTTGACCTCTCCGGCCATTTTCTACCCTCTCGGGGTTGACTTTTCGGTTGACTTTCTGTATTTTCGCCCGATTTTCACATTTTCGACTATTTTCGC